TCCTGAAATATTTAATTTAATATATCCTTTCCGTATTTCTCTCTGTGTTACACAGGAAGACCCAAAGGACGGGATATATATGTATTCGTCTGTACCCTGTTTCCTCTTAACAGTGTATCTGGAAATCTTTCCATATTGCTTGACCAAACTATTTTTCATTGGTTATCCAAATATGCTATTTTTTTAATAACAGAGTAACATAAGCTCCTTCGTTCCTCATATGCGTTCACCTTGATTAAATCCAAATCCGAGGATCCCAGTTGAAAGCCAGCCCAGGCAGGAAGGTCCATGAGACTCTTATCTCCAGATAATCAGCAAAAAAGCACACCCACACATGTGTGTGTGTGCGCGCACACACACACACACACACACACACACACAAATGCACATCTTACTGATGGCCTTAATTGGAGACCCTATTATGTTTAGTACAAGACAGTCAACTCTGAATATTTCCTATTTTGGAAATCTTCAATCATCTATTACTTAAAAATTAATTTCTGGCTGGGCACTCATGGCTCATACCTGTAATCCTAGCTACTCAGGAGGCTGAGATCTCAGGATAGTGATTCCAAACCAACCTCAGGCAGGAAAGTCTGTGAGACTGTTATCCTCAATTAACCACCAGGAAACTGGAAGTGGCTCTATAGCTCAAAGTGGTAGAGTGCTAGCTTTGAGCAAAAGAGCTCAGGGACAGTCCCCAGGCCCTAGCTTAGGCTTGAAGGATTGACTCGGGCCCTATACCCCCAGGTCAAGCAAATCACCCGGTACATACTCATGTGCTTGTCCACAGGCAAGTAAGTCACTCCAACCTTGGTTTAGCTGAAAGTCCTCTCATCCAGGGTAAGCATTTTATTCTGGGCCTGGCCAAGGGTACCTTGGCCTCCAAAAGACCATAACCTATTTTCTATTTTCCGCTTCATTGTTAAGACCATATAAGGGCTGGGAAGTTGGCTCAGTGGTAGAATGCTTGCCTCACATGCATGAGGCCCTGGGTTTGATTCCTCAGCACCACATAAGCACAAAAAGCGAGAAGTGGTGCTGTGGCTCAAGTGGTAGGGCACTAGCCTTGAGCTGAAGAGCTGAGGGACAGTACCCAGGCCCAGAGTTCAGGCCCCACGACCACCACCACCAACAACAAAAAGACCCATATAAGCCTGTCCCCAAATCCAGCCCCTTGCACAACCTCACCTCTGTGCCTCTCATTGGCAATAAACAGTCATAGCCTGTTGAGATTTGTGTCCCATCTATTGCCTTTCCATTCTCCATCTTCCGAATAAGGCCCATGCCTGACCAAAAAGAAAAATACCAATCTCCATTGCTACCTTTGTCTACTGTAGTTTTCTCTCCAATTTATTTTTCCAGTTCCATATACACTATATCCCTGTTAATAGTATTTCATATGTGAACCCTGGTTGAAAAGGATCCTGTAGATCTTTGCGAGACCCTACCACCACTTTCCCAAAACAGGTTGCTGAACTAAACTGATAAAGAGAGGAGATGTGATGTCACAATTAGCTAAAAAATAGTTGTATTTGGAGTTGGAAGTGACCATCAGGAAGCTGTGTACTTTCTGAAATCCACATATGCCCTGACTTGTCAGTTTATTTTAGAATCCTGAGGTCTCTTTATGTCAAAAAACATTATGCATAAACTGGAAGATGAAAAAAATGTGTAACATTATAAATTAAGTCTAGCCTTATGTTTTCCTCTAGAAAAAGAAAAACCCTTTTAAATTTAAGTTATTTTGTGTTTCTTTCAACCAAGAGAACCCTGACTAGAGTCAGGAGGAACCACTGAAGAGTTTTATGTTGGAAAAAAGACATGTCTGAGAATTAAAAGGAAAAAAACCATAGGTTAATAGCATTTAAGGGATAAAAGGAAAAAAGAATGTTACATAGGATAGAATTGGAGAATCCAGAAACCCATTGAAAAAGGTGCTAGGAAAAACAATGGAGGGCAGAATTTTGAAGAAGAAATGGGAAGATTGGGAAGATCTGGAGACTAGGAAGTATGAACTGGATTTGCTAATTAGGTCAGTGGTTACTTTTGCAAGAAGAGTTTCATTGGAGTTGGGTGGGGAGGAGAAAAAGTTACAGTCTGCTGAATCTGGAGTGGGAGGTAGGAAATTGGAGTTTACACATGTCATCATTTAACTCTGGTATTAGAAGGTAATAGAAGGAAGGCTTTCTTAAAAAATTATTAAGACCTGGGCCTGTTTATATGCTTAGGGGAAAGAGCATACAGTGGAAAAAATGGATAGAAATCTTAACTTTATAGAACTAATTTCCCAAAGAAAGAGAGGAGGGGGAATAGAATAACACAATTAGAGGAGTTTGCTTCACAATGTCCTCAGAGGACAGCAAAATACCATTAAGATTACTTACCAATCATGTTAAGAGATATTAACTGAATTAGGGAGGAGATGATGAAGTACAGAATGAGAAACTGAAACGCCCCGAGACCCAGGTCTCTTGTCCCGTCCTCTGGTGGGCTTGCCTCTACCTAAAAATCAAAACAATCTCTGTAAATATGAGGATAAGGTTATGTACTAATAACCTAAAAGAAAAGAGGAAATAAATTCAGGGAGCTTGAGTACTGGCAATAGGCTTCCACAGTTCATAAGCCACAAGAAGAGAAAGCTCTGTCATGTTCAAGTTCAGTGTTCAAAGTAGCAGTTATCAGGTAGAATAGATCCTGGCTACTCAAAATGTAGTCCATTGACCAGCATCATTGGGATCACTGACATATGTAGAATCTAAGACCCTCATTTTAATAGTTATTGGATCCCAGAACTAATGAATCAGAACCTTGTAAACAGAATTTCCAAAGTTTAAGAAGCACTGTGATAAGAGCCAAACATGGAGCCCATGTGTAATCCCAGCCGCAGGAAGGCTAAGGTAGGGAGATTCTCAGTTCAAGAACAAATTTGAGGCCAGTCTGGGATATATAGCAAAACCCTTCTTCATAAACAAATGAAGCCTTGTGATGAGGATAGGTTGATGGACTGTGGAATCAATCCTTTGTTATTCATCACTGTATTGCCTATGATATGCTATGTTCAGTTTGTAATGTTACTACTACTCATACAAACTCAGTGGATTCCTCCTCCCCACTTAATGTATAACTTAAGTCTTTTCCCACATGATTCATGATCTTTTGCACTAACTGGTAATTCTACCTGCACTCCAGGAACTCTCTCTTTTGTGGGCTCAACAATGTTAGAACTCTGTTATACATTCCTCTTTATCACATTTATCTCTAAACATTGTGCTCCTATCAAAACAGGTTCTTCATGATAATCCAGTTATGTTGTAATTCTACAACCATCTATCACCATCAACAGACTAGAAAGACATAACATTCCCAAGTGAATTCACCACCACATCAAGAACATGCACAGTGCATCTCAAATACATTTTACTTAACAGTTACACTGGTTAATGTTACCCACAGCTCTCCCATCTGTTATCTTGGTCCTTCAAATTTATCCTTGTGCCTACCAAATTTATCTCCATATAAAAAGAACCTGCTTCTTCATTTCCCTCTTTTTTTTTTCCTCCATCAATATTCCACATCTAGTAGCTGGCTGTATTGGATTAGACTTACCAATGTTTCTACATTGAGAGAAGGAACACTTTTCCTCTCCTTCCTAGTTTCTTACTGAGGATGTCAGGATGCTGTTCAAGATTAACAATAACGCTTCCTTTCAGTTTTAAAATTGATTTTATGTATCATAGCCAAACTTCCTCTGCATACAAAGTATATGAGAAAATCAGTCCAAATGAAATCGAATCCGTGTTAAGAACCATTCTAAGAATTCTGCAGTCAATCTCTCTCTGTCTCTCTCTCTCTCTCTCTCTCACACACACACACACAGAGGGGTGTATGTTTCTCCTGGTAACATTCCAGTGTTTTGAAAGCTGCTACACAGAGCTTATGAACAGTTCTGAGCTCTTTTCTTTTCTTTTTTTTAAAACCCTATGTGCAAAAGCAAACCGAAATTCTTCAAAATGAATGGATACACTTGGGACATCCCCTTAAGGAGTAGGAGCGGGGGCAGAACTACCTTTCTGGCGTTCCTGGAGAGCCAGTTCCCCCAGGAGGCAAGGGATTTGGGGAGCCCTGGGCAGCGTCGACCTGAGCACGCAGATACCTGTTGGCCAGTGCCGTGGGCTTTTCTGTTCCTGCTTTCTAAAAGAATAGGCCTCTGGGGTTCGGGCTCTCAGCAGCGTGGGGCTGCTCCTGCTTCTTCTTTTAATGATCAGGTGCTTTAAAGCGCTGTTATCTACGAGGGCCGAAGTCGGGGGTCAGGGATGGGGCCAAGTATTCCTCCCCCGCTAACTGGTCCTGAGTGGCGACTGTGCCCTGAGATTGCGGGGGGGGGGGTGGTGTTCCAAAATTGAGCGCGGGGCCTTTTCTTCAACTGTTGCGGGGAAAAGTGTTCGTGCGGCGCCGGCGCAGCGTTCGGGACTTGACCGTGCCAGGCTCGCTCACAGTCGCCGGCAGACGCGGGGCTCCCGCGCCCGCCCGGGTTAATTCGAAGACCGTCTCTCCCCCGCCCTTCCCCCTCCGGGCCTCCGGGGCTCCCCCCCCACCCCCCCGCCTGCTTTCCCTCCAGCTGGCCTCCCTCCTTTCCCTCCTCCTTTTCCCTCTCCTCGCCCACTCCCGTTTCCTCTCGATCCTCCAGTCCGACCCTCCGCGCTTTTCCCTATCTTCAGATTCGCTCTCCCGCGGCCGACCCCGCCCTCCCCATCTTCCCGGGGCCTCTTTCCCTCCTCCCTCGGGAGCCGCGGCGGGCGGGCTGTGCGCAGGCGCACTGAGCAGCAGTCGCGCGGGCTGGCGGCTTCTGCGCAGGCGCGCGCTGCTCGGCTGGGCTCGGCTCGACTGGGGCGCGGGCGGGTGGCGCCTTCTGCTCGCGCGGTGTCTGGGCTCCGGGGCCCCGCGCTCCTGGCGGCGGCGGCGGCGGAGGCGACGGCGGCGGCGGCAGCACCGTCACCACCACCACCATGTTTCTTCATTCAGTCAACCTCGGGAACCTGGCCTTTTATGTCTTCATGATCTTTCTGGCCACCCTGGGGCTGTGGGATGTCTTCTTCGGCTTCGAGGAGAACAAGTGCAGTATGAGCTACATGTTTGAGTACCCCGAGTACCAGGTACGGCTCCACCCTCGCCGGGCGCCCGAGACCAGAGTCGCCGGTGCGGGGCCCGCCCCCGCCGGGCTCTCCGCACCCCTCGGCCCGCCTCGCCTGCTTCCCCCGGCCCGGAGACCGCAGAGCCCTAGGGTGCCCCCCCTTTCTCCCGGGCTTGGTGTCCCGGCTTTCCCGAGTGACAGCCCGCCCCGGGCCGCCCCGGTCCTCGCCGCGCCCGGGCGCCCGATCCCGGACACCGACGGGCCGGGGACCCGAGCGCCGGTCACCCCCGGGGAGGCCGTCCGCACGCTCCTCCGCGTGGTGGATCCCGTCCTCACCGCCCTCGCGTCCTAACAGGTGCCCAGCCCCTCCCCGCGCCCAGATTCTTCCCTCGGCGCGCGGGGATTTGCTGGTCGGATTTCGTCTTTCGGGGCTGGGACCCGAGCTGTTGGGCAGGCTTGGGGCTTCCCCCGCGGGTGTCGGGGTGAAGGGCGGACCCGTGGGGGAACGAAGCCGAAGACCTGGGAGTTTTCTTCTCTGGAGAGGCTTGGTGGACCCACCTGTTCCGTAGGTGCTGGGTCGGGTGGGACCCATGGCCTCCGGGATTTGCCATCCATTCGTGGAGGCTACTTTGTGGACTCCGGTGCTGGCAGTTTGAAGCGATCCGGGCCTCCTCGCCCTTCTCCTCCCATCCACTTAGAATGTTTTCAATTAATTGCTTCATCAGTTTGGCGCGGTAGAATCTAGAATTTCATTCATGTCTAGCTGTAAAAAGAGATAGTAGCCGATGACACAACTGTCCAAGGAAATATCGCTGGGGCGATTCTTTTATTTCTAAATGGACCTCTCATTGACGGATTGCCTATTACAACAACTTCTATAAAATGCACGTGCAGGTGTTACCTGCTGGCCAAGGGTATCTTTTGTATACTGTTTAAACGGCAGCGCACATGTTTCTTTAGAGTCAAGGATGGAAATCAGCATTGCTTCCTGGGTACAGGTCATTCCGGAGGGAATCTGTTTGTGCTATTATTTACACTTAGAAACCGTGTAAGGTTTAAACTTCTGAAGAGTATCCTTATCTGTGGATACATTTTTGGAAAATGCAGATTTCATTCCTTTAGAAATCCTCACCTTCCGCCCCCCCTCCAACAGTGGTAATCGGGAAGTGGGAACATTGGATTTCATATGCTGTTGATGGAGAAAATGTTAACATTAGTTTTTTTTGTTCATTTTTAAGCAAATTGCCTTATTCTGGTTTATGTTTATCAGAGTTAATTTAATAAATAAATGCATGGTCTTTAAAAACTAGAAATAGAGCTTATTATAATCCCCTTTCATTATTAGGAAACTCCCAGTAGATGGAAGTAACACATTTTAGTTTTGTGTATTGCATGATTTGGTGAAAATAAAATCTCTTTGGAGCAATTCAGTACTAGCTCTCATTTATTTTTAGGTTGCCCACAATTATTGAAGCTATTTTAATATTCAGTAGTAGAAATTGCTTTCCTTAGTGTTGGGAACAAAGCATATGGAAGTCACAGATGCATTTCCTGCCTCATGAGTTGACTGGAAAGATAGAATTAGTGTAGCTTGTACAAAAGAGCTGTATTTTGCATAGTTTGTATTTAGTTATTTTCATTCAAATCGCCTTTTGAGGGCTTTACACTTCTGTTAATTTGTTAGTACAGTAATTATAGTGACAGAAGTTTTTACATACTCATTTTTAGCAGGTTTTATTTTTATGATGTAGTGTTAATTCACTACAGTATTTTATACACCAGTTTTGTTTTGTTTTGTTTTTGTTTTTTTGGGGGGGGTCCAGTTGTGGGGCCTGAACTCTGGGCCTGGGAGCTGTCCCTCAGCTCTTCAGCTCAAGGCTAACGCTCTACCATTTGAGCCTCAGTGCCACTTCCGGCTTTTTTCTTTTTGCTTATGTGGTGCTGAGGAATCGAACCCAGGGCCTCATGCATGCAAGGCAAGCGCTGTACCACTGAGCCACCTTCCCAGCCCCCACACCAGTTATTTTTTTAACAGGCATTTATATTTGTAACTGTCATTTTACAAATACAATTGAAATTCATCTATAGAAATCAGTAATTTTTTAAATGTAGTGAGATATTAAATAAATGAGATCATGCTGCTAAATGATTTTCATATGAATATATATTGCCTAGTGTGGATTATATATATTTTTTAAAATCAGATATAGGATGGTATCCAGTGCATGTCATGCTCTAGTCGTTGGATTTTCTTCTCTTTGCTGATGTTTTCTTTTCTACTATTTGCATCATGAGCCCGCCTGCAGGAGAAATGGAGAGGTAGTTGAAACACATATCACTTCTTCTTCTTTTTCTTTGATTAAAAATGTACAGGGAATTTAAATTCTTTAGAAGTAGGAATGTTGAATTTAAAACTGTTTAGGACTGGAGGCATGTCTCAAGTGGTAGAGCCCCTGTCTAGCAAGTGTAAAAAGCCTTGAATTCAAACCTCACTACCATCCAAAAAGAAAAAAAGAAATACCCTTAAAATTATTTCTATTCATCATCCTACTATGATTTTATTAGTCACTTCACTACTCAAAGTTAACTGGTCATTTCGTAAGTCTTGAGTCTACTGAGAAAAATACTAATCTTTAAAGTTTCTTGCCATCTTCAGACAGCAAGGCAAAACTTATTTGGCAGTCAATGGTTTTAAGTAAATTGTCGAATCTGAGGAGGAATATCTATGTTACTTTTGCTCATATAGTGATTTAGCTCTTTTCATATGTGGGAACTAATGGTTATCTGAAAGTAAATAGTGATACTGAATGTCTGAATCATGCTTTGTTACTAAATGTGATATTTATTTAGCACAAGTCATTTATTGAATTACTACCCTGTGCCAGGAATATCTGGAGTTCAAACTTGGAATTGGTGATAAATGAATCCTTGTGAATGGAGGTATAGTAACTATATAATGTGAAGGTTATGATTTCAGTGTAAGACAATATCAACAAGCTCTTCATGGGAGAGAGAGCATTCATTAGTCTTGGGGATTCAAAGCCTTTACAGAAGATTTGTTGAATTTGGCCATCCAGCATGTATAATTCGAAAGCTGCAGAAATAAAATTGCAGGCATTATCGTATATGTGAGGGTAGGAATGTGCCAAGACACATTGCATTAGCAGTATTTATAGTGTATTTCTATTTACAAGAGAAAATAATTAAAAACATATTTACTCATGTAGATGTAAAATATTTCTAGAAGCAGACACAAATTGATGATGATAATAATATTGGAACTGGATAACTAAAAGCCCCAATGCAGAAGAGATTGTTAGTGTCTATTATTCTGAATATTTAGAATATATCAAAGATACATATTTTGCTAGCTTACTAATTTTACAACCTTTCCACATGTAATTTTAGGCAGTGATATATTCCAATCAATCTCACCCCTGTATTATGCTCATGGTTTCTCAAAATACATTTTAAAATATAGTATTTGTAAATGATAAAGTAGGTAAAATAATTACTGATTAAATTAAAAATAATTAATAATTACTGATCTCCTCTCTCAAGTCTTTATTACTTGTTCAATTGTTCCCCCCCCCCCCCCGTGTGTGCACCTGTACATGCTGGTCCTGGGGCTTGAACTCAGGGAGGGTGCTGTCCTTTGGCTTTTTTGTTCAAGGCTAGAACTCTACCACTTGAGCCACAGCTCCACTTCTGGTTTTTTGATGGTAGATTGGAAATATGAGAATCACACATTTTCCTGCCCTGGCTGGCTTTGAAATGCAATCCTTAGATATCAGCCTTCTGAGTAGCTAGGATTACAGTCATGGCCACTAGTACCATTTCTTTCCTTCCTTTTAAAATCAAACTGGAGTTCCTAGAACTATTCGTAGGGCTAGCATGAATAATAGACTGAGAGCCCTTTGTAAAAACTTTTAAATTATCTGCACTTATTTTCATATTTTTTTTCTTTCTAGTTAAATATGGTGATCAATTGTAGTTTTCATTCACAACTAAAAAATGTATATCATAAAATAAGATTCATACTTCCTTAAACCAGCATTTTTTCTAGCACTTGGGAGTTGTCTTTTGCTAGATATTTAGGTTAGATTTAAGAAGGACAATCAAGGAAGAACAGAAATCAGGGGCAGGATATTATCATGGAGATGATATTTAAGGTAAAGGAAATTGATCTTTATTAAAGGTCTTGTTATTATGTTAAATTATACATAAAAATAACTATTTTATATTGGGAATTAAGGTTCTGTGTTTCCTTTTTGAATCCCATGACTTGTTTCCTCCTCCTCCTCATCCTCTGTGCATGTGCACATATTTTATATCAATCTGTCCAGTTACCTTTTTTGTATCTTCCTGCCACTCATTCCTAATTTGAACTCAGAAATGCAATTTTGCCATTTGCTTATAACTTCCACCACTTAACTTTTCTCTCTCCTCTCTTGCTTGTACTCTTTTTATTCCTATAGTTTTCCATCTGTATTCTTTAAAAAATAAGGATACATTTACATTTTTTAAATGTTCTTTCTCACAAATTACTTTTATTATAGACTGTCATGAAATATGTCAGACATATTGTTTTGCTTCCTTTTCTCAGGAATTTAAATCTTTCTCTCTTTCCGTATATATAATTTCCTCTTCTTCTGAGTTAATTTTCTTTTTCTTTTCTTTTGCCATTCCTGGGGGTTGAGCTCAGGGCCTAGGCACTGTCCCTGCGCTTCTTTTGCTCAAGACTAACACTCTACCACTTGAGCCAGAGAGCCACTTCCAGCTTTTTCTTTGTATGTGGTACTGAGGAATCGAATCTAGAGCTTCATTCATTCTAGGCAAGCACTCTACCACTAAGCCACATTCAGCCCCTGCATTAATTTTCAACCATGCTCAAAGTTTGTTTAGCTAGTGTACTAAAAAGAATAATGATCTAGTATGTATGTACTATTATTGCAAATTTGTATACTTAACTGGGAGTAGTTAAAAAACGATTGCATTGTACTTATATTTTCTTTTTGTTTTATTTGTATCCAAAAAGTAAAAAAAAAATGGACTATTTTCATTTTCAGTATTATAGTGTGCATAATCAAGGTAGGAACTAATAAACCAAATAGTAAAGTTAGTATTTATGTATTTTGAGTCTTTGAGAAGATAGCCAAGGATGCTATTCTGTCTGGATAGAAATGTCTGAGGTAGGGGCTGGGAAGTTGGCTCAGTGGTAGAGCGCTTGCCTTGCATGCCTGAGGCCCTGGGTTCAATTCCTCAGCACCACATAAGCAAAAAGAAAAAAGCCGGAAGTGGTGCTGTGGCTCAAGTGGTAGAGTGCTATCCTTGAGCTGAAGAGCTGAGGGACAGCGCCCAGGCCCAGAGTTCAGGCTCCATGACCGGACCAAAAAAAAAAAAAAAAGAAATGTCTGAGGTAAAATTGGCAAAGGTTATTTGTCATAATGTTCTCAAAGGAATGTTCAAGAATATGCAAAGATCAGAATTTTGTTTTTTAAATAGTGAGGTTTTTCATCAAGCTTTAATACCATTTAATGTTTTTGAAGTTCATACAATAAATTTTTTTTTCATCAAGCACATTAAACAGATCATTAATTTGTTGTTATTTCAATTTTTTGTTTTTTTTTGGCCGGTCATGGGGCTTGAACTCTGGGCCTAGACCCTGTCCCTCAGCTCTTCAGCTCAAGGCTAGCGCTCTACCTCTTGAGCTACAGCACCACTTCTGGGTTTCTGGTGGTTTATTGGAGCTAAAGAGTTTCATGGACTTTCCTGTCCGGGCTAGCTTTGAACCACGATCCTCAGATCCTCAGATCTCAGCTTCCTGAGTAGTTAGGATTACAGGTGTGAGCCACCGGTGCCCGGCTTCTATTTCCATTTTTTTTATCCAATTCAATTCATTTTATTTTTAATGTTTACTATCCCTTAAAAAAGGGAGGGTTTTTTTTTTTTTTAAGGCAGTCATACGTATCTGTAGTCTCAACACTTGGGAGGCTGAGGCAGGAGGATCATGAGATCAGCTACATAGTGAGACTCAATCTTTGACATTAAGGCCTGATTTTTGTTACATTTACAAAAATATGTGTAAACTACAAGGTAATTTTTGCTCAATACTGTGAGTTGTAGACTAAGGCTTGCTCATCCACGAAAACTGAAACATATTAATTCACTGGAATGTTCAGTGTAAAAATAGTGTATAAGTCTTGAACGGGTCGTGGATGTGAGGTTCAGATTTTTCTGTTGAGCATGTCATAAGAAGCATATTAACTTGAGAGTTCAGAAAGCTGCATTAGAAAGATGCAACAGTTGGAATATGTAGTTGGGCCTGAGTGAAAAGAAAGACATTACGTAGCAGTTTAAAATGGCAAAAAATTGATTTAATAGTGGAAAGCTTTTATCCTTATTTAAATGATGTATAATTGATACTGATTTTAGATTAAGTGCATTTCCAATTATATTAATATGTAACTTGCTGACATATATTAGTTATCCTTGTTGGGGGCTATCGTGAATAATTTATATGTGGTAGAATTGGAGGTGCACTCATTTAATGCTTAACTGAAGACAATGTGGTTCAAAATTACATAATTCAAGAATAATTTCATTTATGAATAATGTGTAAGTAGAACTTGTTTTGTGCTTTAAGTGTGGCTTTATCATTAACAATAATCTTATTTTTAGCATACATTAATTGTATAAGGTAGATTTCATTGTAACATTAATGTATCTAGATCATTTTTTATAATGTACTACTTAAAAGTTGTTTATTTTAGAATTGCATACAGTGAGGCTGAATTGTTTTGATAAAACTGATTAAAATGTACCTACTTTATTTACTGTTTGTGCTATAGAAAATAGAACTTCCAAAAAAACTGGCAAAACGCTATCCAGCATATGAGTTATATCTTTATGGAGAAGGATCCTATGCTGAAGAACACAAAATTCTCCCTTTGACAGGAATTCCAGTTCTTTTTCTTCCTGGTAATGCTGGAAGTTACAAGCAAGGTAAGTATTAGAAGTGAAAATTTAAAGCTATAAAATTCAATTAAACACTTAGGATCCTATGCATACTCACTGAATCAAAGGAAGCTAGTGAAGTATATACTCCCTGTTAAGTACTGAGAGACCCAAGTATATGACACTTCCTCTAAGAGAAAGTGTGTGTCTGATAAATTTCAGATTCAAAGTTTTAATCAGCCTTGTAGCTATGATTTACTTTTAAGAAGTGATCATTCTGGCTCTGCTGTGAAGAGATTGTGCTATAAAGGGCAAGATTAGAAGCAAGAAAAATAACGTTATTAGTATGAACACATGCAAATCAAAATGAGATACCATCCTATACCTGCTAAGAGAGCTATAATAAGAAAAAAAAATCAAAAAACCCAGATAGTTAACAACAAGTACTAGGAAAGGTGTGGAGAAATTGGAGCCTCTATACATTGCTGGTGCGAATATACATGGTTTAGCCATTTGGAAAACAGTTTGGTAGTTCTTCAGTATATAAATATAGTACTATCATCTAATCTAATAATTCTACTTCTGGGTATCCGCCCAAGAAAAAGTGAAAATAAACATTCTCACAAAAAATTGCCATACATATGTTTACACTAGCATTATTTAGATTGTAAAAACTGAAAGGTAAGAATGAGTTGCTGACGTATGCTACAGCATTCACGAACCTTGAAACACCATGAAACATTGAATAATTGTATAGTATGGTCTTCTACATTATTTAATTGGTTCATTTATATGAAATGTTGAGAATAGATAAGTTCATAGAGATGTGTATTAGAGCATATAAAAGAATTTGAGGAATTGGGGAATTAGAAGGGACTGTTCTGGGGAGGAGGGTTTTGTTTTTGAGGTAACTAAGAATGACTATTAGAATGCAGAGATAGTTGTACAATCCTCATAGAGGGGGCTAATGTACTAAAAACCATTGAGTTGCGTGTGTTACCTGGTGAGTTGTATAGTATGAATTATAATACAAATAGCATGTTGCTAAAATGGGATGGCAAACCAGAGGTGTTTTGTTTGCCAAAATGTTTACTGTTGATTTTTATGCCACTTAAATATAATCAATTCATAATCAGTTTTGTTAAAGGCAACAAAACAAAAAGAGTTGAGGCAGAGAGATCAGTTAGAAAGCTGTTAGAGAAGCTCAGGCAAGACATAATGGGGCTTAGATTAGAAAGAATGTGCTGGAAGTGGTGAGAAGCCTCCCCTGGGAATGTATTTGGAAGAAGATAGATGGATTGGATGTCATATGTAAGAGAAAGAGACAAACCATGAATAAGTGTCTAAACCAAGTAGAAAGTTCTCATTCTTAAAATCCTCTGTAAGTGTGGCAAAATTCCTGTTTCTTATTCTTCAAGGAATTCTTCCTGTTTTAGCTATTACTATTTCTCTATTGAAGGAAAGCAAGTAAAGAATGACCTGTTGACTTTTTATTTAATTTATATAGGGCATGCATACTGTGTATAAGTTATACATTTGCTAAGTTCATTTGTTCTAAATTGGTTGTATTAATAGGTGTCACCCTGGAATAAGTTGCTTTTATTCATGGATTGATTTATTGATGGATTGAATGCTTGATCACAGTGCTAGGGGTTGAACCCAAGACTGTGACATTCTAGTCCAGTACTCTGCCACAAAATTATTTATTAAGAGACTTTGAAGCAAAAATGAATGAAACTTTACAATATTTGCTATTGTCTTTACTCTTTTTTCCTCTGCAGTTCGTTCTATTGGTTCTATTGCGCTTAGGAAAGCAGAAGACATTGACTTCAAGTACCACTTTGACTTCTTTAGTGTGAACTTCAATGAAGAATTGGTGGCGTTGTATGGTGGAAGTCTTCAGAAACAGACTAAGTTTGTGCATGAATGCATTAAGACAATTCTCAAACTCTACAAGGTAAAGTCAATGGTACAGTATGTCCACATCATCTAGAAACTTACTGTATTTAAAATCGTAAATTTCTTTATATTGCAAGTTGAAAGTTTGGAGTTTTTGTTTCTTAGTTTGTTGTCTTGAACTCTGATGGTGTCATAATTTAAATTGTGTGTACAAGAAACCTTCCTTGTGAATTTCAGGAAATAATTTTTTTAAATCTTTACATATAAATTATATATACATATAAATTATATAATGCAGTTCCTAAAAACCATTAGTGAAAATTTCTGCTTCTAGCCATGACTAATTAAGTGGTAGTAGAAGTTACCTGCATAGATAAACAATTATAAAACAGTTGCTCAGAGCATCTGAGGTGTTTTTTTTTTTTTTGGTCGTTCGTGGGGCCTGAACTCGGCCTGGGCGCTGTCCCTGAGCTCTTCAGCTGTAGCCTAGCACTCTACCACTTGAGCCTCAGCCCCACTTCCAGCTTTATCTGCTTATGTGGTGCTGAGGAATCAAACCCAGGGCCTCATGCATGCAAGGCAAGCACTCTACCACTGAGCCACCTTCCCAGCCCCAGCACCTGAGGTTTATAAAAACTAAACAGGTTTATCAAAACTAAACAGCCAGGAATGATCCCGCTTCTCTGAAAAGAATGAGCTCCATGTTTGCCCTTGTCTTTTCTCAGGCAGCGTTTTCTATACCATAGGCAAGTAGGTGGAGATTGACAAAGCATGTTGATATTGCTGAACTGAAGAAGGTAGAGAACTGTAGTTTGGGACTACTGAAGTGTGTTTTGGGGAGCAGAGTTATGAGAATGAAGGGAAAGAAGCAAAGAAAGGAGTTCTAAAAGTTTCCATTATTTCAGTCTTTGAATGTTGTACTGGATACACATAGAGTGAGAACCTAAAAGGCAGTGTGACATATGAAGAATGAGTGGTAGAGTATGTTCACCTCAGGTAGAAAAAGCACGTGGGAGCCGAGTAGCAATGGCTCAATTCAGTAGGCTGAAATCTAAGGGTCTAAGGATCTTGGTTCAAAGCCAGCCTGGGCAGGACAGTCCATGAGACTCTTATCTCTAATTACCCACCAAAAAGATGGAAGTGGAGCTGTGGCTCAAGTGGTAAAACCTTAACCTTGAGCAAAAACATTCAGGGACAATGCCCAGATCAAGCCTTAGAATTAGTACAAAAAACCAAAAACATGGGAATATGTTTTCTGTAGAGAAATCTAAAAGAACAAACAGCTACACACAGTGGTACATATCAGTAATACACTTGGAAGGTGGAAACAGAGGCATCATGAAGCTAGCCTAGACTGTATAACAAGACTTCCAAACTCAAAAAGCAAACAACAAATAAAACTAGTGAATACAAAATCATTCTGTGATATTACTTTCCTAACAGTATCAGGGATGAAATACAACTAGAGTGAACTATCTTTTTCCTTTAAATACCTTTGTACAAGCCTGAGGGAAAATAGCTGTTGGGGAGTTATATATAAGCTGAACTGAGGACTCAGAGGCTAGGTGGTTCTAGGAAACAGGCATTTCTGATTAGCTAGAGAGGAAGAACCTATCTAAAAACAGTAGGCATTCAATTGAAGCCCCGTAGCTCTAAAGTAATAGCTACTCTAGAACCCACCTGAACAGGGCTTACATATAAACCTCAAACATGTCACACAAAGCTATGTTACACATAAGATGAAAGTAGATGGGGCATCTCAGCAAAGACATAGAAACAACAAACCAAAAAGAAAATATAGAACTAAGACAGTACATATCAAAAATAAAAAATTCATAAGCTAGACTTCAGCAGGAACAAACATCATTGGAGAAATAATTGGATTTGAATATAGGACAACAAAACAAAACAACCTGTGCTTCTTGAGTCTGAAGCACAGGTGATTAAAAGGTGAAAAGATCAGAGACTCAGGAATCTGTGGAACAGTACGAAGAGTTTCACGTGTATAATTGGAACCTCATAAGAAGAGAGAAGAAATTGGGAAGGAAAAAGTGATCAACAAATTAAAGCCTCTTTCCCCTCCCCAAGTTTTAAACTATAGACCCAAGAAGTCACTGAATATCAAGCAGAATAAACATAAGGAATCAACCTTGGTGTAATATAGTCTACTTACTAAGGTAATAATTCTAAGGTAAAAAAAAATAATCTTAAAAGCACCTAGATTAAATCTTCATTTACAGAGAGGGATGATAAAATTAACAAATGATTTATCACTTGAAATAATGAAGCCAAAACCAATAACATCTTAAAGATCCTGGAGGTAAGATTTACCTCTTAATCTAATATTGTATATACAGGAAAATGTCCTTCAGTGAGGGGCAAAATAAAGACTTTGTCAGAGAAGTACATACTGGTAATTTTGTTACTACCAGAAGGAAATAGGAAAATACAAAATTACCCTGAGAGGGAATAGCATGGTAATTGGTACAGATAGAACTCACCAGTGGATGTTAAAATTAGTGAGTGCAAAGGTGAACAGTTTTACAGTGGAGATACCTGGCAGATGATAATCCTAACCAAAGTCAGCATTACTGCTAATAACACACACTGTTACCCTGAGCCTTCTTGACATGGTACATTGAGAAGGATGCTCCAGCTTTTCTGTGGCATCATTGCCAAAAGCATAGAACTTCATTTTAATCATGAGAAAACAAACCCAAGTTAGAGGCACACTGCAAAAAAACAAAGCTATTGGCCTGTGCTCTTCAAAAGTCGGAATCCAAAAACAACAAAGACTGAAGAACTCAGAAGAAACTTAAGATGGAATAAGAATAAATTTGAGAAAAAGTTCATGAATGTAAAAACTAGTAAAATTTAAATTAGGTCTGCCCTGTAGTTAACATTTTTACACCTGTGGAAATGGCTATTTATTTCTTTTTAGGTTTTCTTCTTCATTGGAAATAGAAGCAAAGTCATTCTTTCTCCTTCCTTCCTTCCTTCCTTCCTTCTTGCCTGCCTGCCTGCCTGCCTGCCTGACTTCCTTCCTTCCTTCCTTCCTTCCTGACTTCCTTCCTTCCTTCCTTCCTTCCTTCTTTTTTTTGCTGGTCAAGGGGCTTGAACTCAGGGCCTAGGCAGTAGTGAGCCTTTTGCTCAAGGCTAGTGCTCTACCACTTGAGCCACGGTTAGAATTCTGCCTTTTTGATAGCTAATTAAGAAGATAAGAGTCTCGTGTACTCTTACTGTCCTGGCTGGTTTCAAACCATGATTCTCAAATCCCAGCCTCCTAAGTAGCTAGGATTACAGATGTGAGCCACTAGCTCCCAGCTAAGAAGCAATTCTTTATAACAAAGATTTAAACAAAGGTTTAAGTGTGGTGCTCAACTTAAACCCTGGTCCTTGTACCTGCTAGGCAAATATTCTACCACTGATGTGAATTATAAGGTTTATGGCCTAATTAAAAGAAAAATCCTTAAATAAGGATACAGGTTGACCCATTGTAACAATGAGATGTACAAGACACTAGGTTGAAAATGAACTTTTCGGCTTGGGAAGGGAGGAGTGTTAGTTGTGGAAATGGGAGGAAGGGATGGTTGGGGGAAAACAAAGGAGGAGGCATCAATGCTCAATAGGAAATGTACTTATTACCTTGCTCATGTAACTGTAACTCCTCTGTACAGCATTTTTACAATAAAAAAAGTACAAAAAAAGAAAAGTATTTGACATAATAGTAAAAAACAAAATGATGTGAATAAGATTAAGCAGAGTTATTAACTTAAACCTACTTTTGTGAAGGGGTGTAATATTAACGGTATGTTAATAAGGTTATATATTATGATTCAAAAAAGGAGGTTGCTAAATAACAAATGGAAGAAACGTAATGAAACTTTAGAATTACTCCTTATGACATCATACTCAGTCGTAAAAATTTGAAAGCTTTTTCTCTAGAAACAAAGATCCCTCCTCTTGCAACTTCTAATCAACATACTATAGAAGTCCTAGCAAGAGCAATTAGACTAGAATAAGAAATAGGAGACATCCAAACCAGAAAAGAGAAGGAAAAGCTGTCTGTCTTTGCAGATGACTCAGTATTGTATTTAGGAGACAAAACAAAAATAACAAGAAAGCCCAATACCAGTGGTTCATGCTTGTAATCCTAGCATAAAATAAAAATAACCTTCAAAAACAAAACTAACTCTGTTAGAGCTAGTAGAAGAATTCAATAAATTGCAAGGTAAAAAAATCCTAGAACATCTAGAACTAGTTGTATTTCTGTAGACTAGCCCTGAACTGGGGCTATACCACTTGAACCATACTCCCAGGACTTCAGGCTAAACTCTTGAATACGTATTTCTCCAGAGAAGATGTATAGACAGCTAATAGGTATATGAAAAACAGAATAAAAAAAAATCAAGGCAGTGTAAACCAAAATCATTGAGGTTTGTCACCTTACATCTGTTAGGATGGTTCAGCAAACAAACATTGGTAAGGATGTAGAGAAATTAGAAACTTGGTACACTGTTGGAATACAAAGTGGTAAGTACCAATGGAAAACAGTGTGGAGATGACTGAAAAAAATTAAAAATAGAACTACCATATGATCTAGCAGTTTCACTTCTGGATATTCATGTAAAAGAATTGGTATGGAGATCTTGAAGACATTAGCAATGTAGCATTATTTGTAAAAGCCAGCATGTTGAGAAGTATCCTAAATGCCCCTAAAAAACATGCTACATAAATACAGTGAAATATTTGGCTCTGGAAAAAGAGAAAAGTGTATAATATACAGCATAGATGAACATTAAGGATATTATGCTAAGTAACATAAACCAGGACAGATGTTACATTCCTTTATTTCCATGGAACATCTAAAGTAGTCAAACTAATACAAAGAAAGTATAATGATGGTTACAAGGGGTCTGGGATGGGGAAAATGAATTGCAAATTAATGTTTAATGATTATAAAATGTCAGTTGTGCAAGGTGAATAACTTCCAGAGTTATATGCTGTATAAGATAGTGCTTGTAGAAAACAGAACTACACAGTACACTTAAGAATCTG